ATGCGCCATGCTGTTCTTTTTGACTTGCTGGTGCGATACGTAGGGAATGAGAAATGGAATGAACCCAGGCTTTGTTTTTCCTCAAAGGAAACCACAAGGGATGGTTTATAAGGGTCATTCCCTCATTCCCTGCTGAGCACCAGCAAGTTGAGTTGGTATCTGTTTTGGGGTTGGCTTGCAGGGAAACCCGTTGTGTGGTTTTGAGTTGGGCTGAGGATTGTTCACAGATTGGGTGTTGAGTGGATTCCAAATGAGTTCTCTGGCATGGTTCTCAGAATTAGGGATTTCTTTTGGTGTGGTTTTCAAGGGAAACCAACCGGAAACCAACCCGAAAATTACATTCGGTGTTTTGTGGTTGGTTTCAAGGGAAGCCAAGGGGAAACTGACCATTTGGGGTGGTTCAAAACCCGATTTTTGGACACATGCCCAAATTTGCGAAAGTGATCGGAACCCGCCGTTTCATGGAACCCATTGAACACGGTCGATGTGGACGCGTCCGTCATCTTAAACTCGCAGTTGGTGAGAGCTTCCGGGCGAGAATTCGACCCTGCCTCCTCATGATGCGTGGCCTCTGCCAAATCGTCCTCGGCTTCGCCTGAAAAAGCGGCGAAGCCGAACGTGCAAGTCGATCGTCAGAGCCCGACAGGTCTCGGATTTCTGAAACTTCACAAGAAACCTGGCAGGAAAACTCCACAAGTCAAATGCCCACACTCTCTCTTGGCTCCCGCATTCGAAGCTAGCTTTGATCAGGCATCCCAAGAAACCCGGATGATCCCAAGAAAGCTCCGCCCCGTTGCCATTGGCCCGGGGAAGAAACGGCTACTTGTGTGTGCAGTTCATTTTAAAGGGAACCCTGCATCAAACAAACAAACAAAAAAGCACAAGGATAACCACTGCCGAAGAATCTTGGGATCTCAAAACGTTTTTTGAGACCCAAAGCCTTTGGAGATCCTGACCTCTTGGAGGGTCCCCACTGAGGCCGATTTAAAACCAAAACCAAAAAGCCCACACTCTGAGCCGAGCAGCGCGCGGCCCTGGAGGCCCGAAAGTTGGCCTTGACCGCCCGCTCCACCCAGGTGTGCAGCTTGGCCTTCTTGAAGTCATAGACCATGTCGCTGGGGACTCCGTCCCAATCTCGGGGACTGGGGGGTGACTTGCGAGAAAATGTTGGCACACGGCTCTGACCCTGAAAGGGTCTACCCCTTCAGAGGAAGTGTGTGAGTGAGCCCGTTTTGAGTGAAACAGCGCATGGCCAACCCGACGACGAAACATGGGCTGTGTCCCCAAATAGGCAAACCTTCAAAGAATTGCCCCAACTCTCCCCGTGGATCTGCCCAAAGCCGTTGACACGCCCAAGGTGCCCAGCTTGTCAGTGTTCATGTGCTTCATGTTCGCTGCAACCCCTGGGGGCACCACGGAGCCCATGTCCTGGGGTGAACGCGAAAAATACATGCGCGAGCTGCGAAAAAAAACACACACCTTGCGGCTTGTTCAACCGGATAGGCCCCTACTTTTTTAGAGAGAAACATGGACATTAGGCCCCAACTTTGGCTTCGCCTTCTCGGAGTTCGCTGCACGGTGCCCGGCTGTATCGCGCGACACCGGCAGAATGGACTGCGAGTTGGTTTCCAGATAACAAAGGATCCCGCGCCCGTTTGGAGGCAACGCGAAGACCCGTCCGGAACCTGCAAAAACAGACCGTACGGGAATCCCGCCACGTGGCCACCCCCCACGCTATCCTTTGCCCGTCTGGTACTCAAACGGCGTCCACCTAATACCCTTGCGGGGATTATAGCTTTGAGATTGCATGTCCGAGCCACTTGCGTGGCAAAACCAGAACCTTTTTACCTCCGGAGAGGCACACATTACAAACCCTTGCACATTGTTCGGTGGCTGAGAAGCCACACAATTGATACACTTCACTGCGGTCTCCGCAACACTCGACTCAATGTGCTGCAACACAGGCACGCGCATCTTCATTAAGCCCAATGGCAACTTCCACATCATAGTCAGCCAGCTGGGGCAAACGCATGGATGGCTTGTCCCTACCCGCCCATCCCTCCGCGGAAAAATTCGCACCCATGTCGTCATTCCTGTACATCACCGCGCGTACCTTCTACCCGGCGGGGGCGCCGCAACGCAAAAATCCTGCGCAGATGCCCCGAGTGCGGCCCTGCTTCGTAGATCGCTTCGTTGCTACAATTGCCAAGAACGAGTCCTGAAGCATTGTGGAAGCACCGAGGTGTTGGACGTTTTGTGACATTGACAAATTCATAGACGCCAGCGTTGCCTGCGAGCCGGGGCTCTTGTTTGAGCGTGGACTTGCCCACAATGCAACACACCGTGTTCACGCAAACCGTTATCTGACATTGCAAGAGTCTCAAATGACCGTGGTGGCCATACAGTCTCACTTCCCGTATCTCGGGCCACAAGTGCCAACAACAGGCTACCAAACAATATATTGTCCGTTGCACGGATCTTCCGCTGTTGCAAGTGATCGTAACAAGGTCAAAACAAACCTGCTTTTCTCACCCGGGTCCCCTCGGTCCATGCCTCCATTTGGCTATCCATCTTCTTCGCATACTCGTCCAGCTGCTCCCGGTTCTTTTCGTACTTGTCATGGATATCACTGAACTTGTCGTAGGCATTGTAAGCGTCCTCGCCGGACGCTGACAAAATAGCTTTTGTGAGGTCCAAAACAGGGGTGCGGGATGGTGCGGGCCTTTCTCGAGAGAACTCTTGTGGCTTGGTTTGAAGTTGGAAGCAACAACAAATCCATCATTTGGGGTTCCCCAATTTTGAAACACAGCTCCCCACCGGCGGCGCAGCTGCTCAGGTACAAAGCCCGTCCTTCAACTTCCCCAGACCGCCCTTAGCCGATCCGCCCGGAGGAATGCGAGGAAGGACATGTTCAAATGGGTGTGCCAAAATGGGAATTGGACCCCAAAATGGCGGCTTTCCTTTTTGGCTTCCTGTTAAAACAACCTCGCAGAGGGCACCCTCAAAAGGAAACACAAACGCGAACGTTGCCAGGAAGGAGGTCGCGGCAGAATGCTGTAAGTCACGTGTGTTTCAATTTTAGGCTCGAGCTATTACATGTTTTTTTCTGCATTGAGCTGCGCAACATAATCTGGCTTGACTAAATGAGCGAGAGCCTGTGCCAACCATATGCGAGTCAATCCATGCATCAGTCAATGCGTTCATTGGAGCTATGTCCGATGCCTGCCGTTTGGTTCTTGCTCGAGCTTGGAGAGCTGCGGAGCGGGCTGCGGCTGCGCTTGGAGAGCTGAGGGTGGAAGGTAGGAAGGGAGCAAAAGCGGAAAGGAAGAAGGAAGGAGGGAAGGGAGGAGGGAAGGAAGGAAGGAGGGAGGGAAGGAGGGAAGGAGGGAAGGAAGGAAGGAGGGAAGGAGGGAAGGAGGGAAGGAGGAAAGGAGGGAAGGAGGGAAGGAGGGAAGGAGGGAAGGAGGGAAGGAGGGAAGGAGGGAAGGAGGGAAGGAAGGGAAGGAGGGAAGGAGGGAAGGAGGGAAGGAGGAAGGAGGGAAGGAGGAAGGAGGAAGGAGGGAAGGAGGGAAGGAGGGAAGGAGGGAAAGGAGGGAAGGAGGGAAGGAGGGAAGGAGGGAAGGAGGGAAGGAGGGAAGGAGGGAAGGAGGGAAGGAGGGAAGGAGGGAGGGAGGGAAGGAGGGAAGGAGGGAAGGAGGGAAGGGTGGAAGGGGGGAAGGAGGGAAGGAGGGAAGGAGGGAAGGAAGGAAGGAGGGAAAGGAGGGAAGGAGGGAAGGAGGGAAGGAGGGAAGGAGGGAAGGAGGGAAGGAGGGAAGGAGGAAAGGAGGGAAGGAGGGAAGGGGGGAAGGAGGGAAGGAGGGAAGGAGGGAAGGAGGGACGGAGGGACGGAGGGAAGGAGGGAAGGAGGGAAGGAGGGAAGGAGGGAAGGAGGGAGGGAGGGAGGGAGGGAGGGAGGGAGGGAGGGAAGGAAGGAAGGAAGGAAGGAAGGAAGGAAGGAAGGAAGGAAGGAAGAAGGAAGGAAGGACGCAAAGGGAGGAAGGCAGGCAGGCAGGCCGGATGGAACAAATGGAAGACGGGAAAGGGCAAAGAGACTGACAGAACCGCATGAAGGAAGGTAGGAAGGATTGGGAAGGCAGAAAGGAAGAACATTGTTATTTTAGAGGGAAACTGTGTCCACCATTTTGGGGATCCCATTGGTTTTGAATAGCCATATAGAGAACCCTGAAACACTTTGCAGCTGAGGCACCAAAACGCCCAGCACCATGGCAAGAGGCGAGAGGCGGGAGGCAGGGCTCACATGGGGCAGATTCGGCCGGCCGAACTTTCGGAAAGAAGTCGCGTGTGGTGACCTTTCGCTCCAGGCGTTCGTTAAGGGAAGTTGGTGGTTTAAGAACAAAAGCAAAGAGTGGCAGCTGCTTGGAGGGGCTGCAATCTGCGGTTTCGGTCTCAGGGCACGCCGAGTTGCTGCAGGTGAGGGGGTGAGGGGCTGAGCCGGTCTGTGGGGCTGTGGGGCTGTGGGGCTGTGGGGCTGTGGGGCTCTGGCAAAGCAGCATCAAATCGGTTCAAAAGCTCTGGGAACGGCATGCAGTCCGAATTTCCTATCCTTGGCTCATGATTCTGCCGAACTTCCTGGAGCAACAACAGCTGCGGGTTCCGCCAACATTGACTGCACGCAAGCAGGGCGTGTCGTGCGCGTAGGGGGAAACAAATAACATCCGAGAAGGCTTCTTAGAGCCATTCTGGCAGGACGGGGGGCCCTGAATAAACATCACAGGTGCTCACAATAAATTCACCGCTTCTGCTTGCCAAAAGGAGACAATCCATTGTAGGGGACCGATTCCTATTCTGAGACGCACCCACCTTCTGATGTTCAACACGTTTTGCTGGAAGTATATTACTTGCTGCTCAGGGCATCCTTTGAGTTTGGGGGTTTTGGGGAATTTCAGCTCTGCGATCGCCAAGGCAGCAAGCGCGAACGCCTGAAAGCCTTAGGCACCGGCGGATAGATGTCGGTCAGCTTTGTTCCAACCACCACTAAAATGTTCAACGGCACCTGGCGGAGGAAAAAAAAACGCTTCATGAAACCGAGTGAAAGCAACAAAACTCCGGAAAGCCACCTGGCGGGATGGATTGTTTTCTCCCAAGGCACCAGGGATGTGTGAAACTTGGATAAATACTGGTTGATAAACCACGAAACTGGTGCATGGATACTTGCCCATCAGCTGTGAGCCACTGCACCGCATGCAACCTGCACCGTGTTCAGCCCTTTCCTGGTGCCCGGTGCCCAGAAAAGCCGAAAGGAAGGTGGATGGGAAGGTCGTTGGCTAGGCGCGTTTGAGAGGTTCTAACAGCTGGGTTCCGGTCGCTTGCAAGAATAGCAATAATGTGTGTGCGTCCCAGAGCACATCAATTGGCCATGATGCTGCATAGGAACCGCCTCAAAGAGCCCCGTATTGAACAAATAACACCTTGTTAGAACCCATGTGCATCAAGTTGGGAAAATGTGACCGGAGAATCGCTCGGACCCTTTCCCCTCTGGCTGCTTCGCGACTTCCCGACTTCCCGACCGGCGTCGTTAATCTGGTGGGCACTTGCTACGGGTTGTTCCCTCGGCCCGGACGAGCAAAAGGTCCTGATCGACTTGTAGCAACTGAAAAACCATTACCAAACAGGTCTCTCCTTTGGGCGGTTCGGTAGAATTACCATGAGGGCTTCGATTAGATTGTTTACAATGTTCCCAAGGCAGCCGCAAATATCCTCCCTACGATCATGGAGGCTGAGGAACGAGTGGATTGGCCAAAAACAGTAACTCTGAATTTGTCGCTTCTAAAATGGTCCAACCAAAAGTGACTCAAGTCACAAAATCTCGAAACGGGATTGGGTCAAAAGGAACCCCCCTCCAAACGGGTAAAACGCGACAAATGCTAACCGGCCAGGCAGGCTCTGAAGATGTTCATTACGCTGCCCTGGATGGCGTCTGGGATCACCTACAGGGAAGGCGTTGCTTTTGATGGCGTCTTTGCGCCTTTCATTTGCTTAAGCCCCTGAGAAAAAAAAAAACTGTCCAGTAGTGATAGATTCCCTGTAAAACCAAAAGGGGAAACAAACAATATTCTCAGGCAAATGGAAGTTGTTGTGCTGTTGTACTGCTGGATTGCGTATTCCTGCTTACTTGCCTCGGTTGCTTTCTGCTCCCCTGCTAAAAGTTCAACTTTTAGTGGTTCATGGAAAACCCATTTGTCGGCAAACAGTTAAAGTCCTAACATCCAAGCAGAATGCACCAAAGTTGCTTACTTGTTTCTTTGCTGAGTTGTTTGTTTTGCTTGTGTGGTGTCTTTCTTCCCTTCTTTGCTTCGCTTTTATTTGCTTACGTGATTGTTGCTTGTGGTTTCCCCGTGATACTTTATCTTGACCAACCAGATTCAGGGATGCAAATCCAGCTGGAGCTTTGAGTTTGGCGATGGGCAGGCAGTGAATTGGCTCTAGGCCAACCCAAAAATCCATGTCCTGCAGCCACAGCAACGGCGCAGTTGCCCGGATCTTAGAACCTTGTTCAAGCCACTTTGATACAACGCCCCAATACGGAAATCTCGCAACATGATGCAACATGGCTGTCAAGCAAACCAAGATGCGCCTTTGCCCATGTCTCTCCTTTCTGGGGGATGCTATTTTGGGGACAGGGACGTAACTTGCTGGTTCTCAGTGAGTCCTCTGGGGGCTTTGGGATCCGGGTTGTATGGTGCATGGGGTCATTCCGACTCGGGGACGCCTTTGCAACATGCAAGGTTTCTTCATCCAAGCCGCTTGAATGGCTTGAGCTGTTCTCCTTCTGCAAATTAGGGCTGCTCCCCCCAAGGCGCCAGTCGCAGCATCGCAATATTTTTTTCTGTTTTTCTTCTTTTCCAGGCGGGGGGTCTCTCCCATTCTCACATGGGTCTGTCCCGACACGCAAAATGTGTTTTTTCTTTTGGCGGGGTCCCTATGTCAAGGCAGACAAGCCAGGGTGGGGCCACTGAAGTGTTTAAACTGATTAAACACCCACCCTCGTGAAAGCGCGCTTACACCCCAAACGTTTAAACGATTTCCAACCGCCAGTGCAACAGGCACATCCTTCGATTGGTTTCCAATAAGTCCCCAATTGTCTCCGAACATTCGTGTCACTGCCGTGAGGAGGCAAAAACCATGAAACGCCCAATTCAAAGCTGGCAACCGTCTTCATTACTCCATTGGAGCGCCCTGCTACTTATTGACTTGAGCAGCGTTCCTTCGGAAAGTATCCATACACACGTGACGCGTGGGCAGTGAGTTTCCCTGCAACACTGCAGCAACACCATGAATGGTCTCCGGGCTCCAACAAGCACCTCCAGAACAGTGTTCGAACGGATGACACGAATCGGCCCGATCGCACCTTCATTTTCTTTTGTTGTGTGTGTGTGTTTGCTTTGTGTTTCCGTGCTTATGATTACACTAACCTGCCCAACTTCCGGCCGCGCCCGAATTCCTTGCGCCCACGCCCGCCTTGGACCGCAGCAGACCCAGGCACGGGAAGAAGAGACCAACGCAGGTCCTAAAGCGAGGAATCAGCGGACGCACTGGGGGAGCTGTTTCTTTTTGGGTCTGAGAGGGAGGGGGAGGATAGTTTGTGTTTTTGTTTTGGGGGGGGGGGGGAGGATAGTCAGTAACAATCAGTTGCGTACGAAACCAATGCACACAGGTTGCTCTCAGCGAATGGGTGAGCCATTAAGATTGTTCCACGGGCTAACTGAGTGTTGCTCACTATATCCCTTCATCTGTTTAAGGAACAAAAGGAAAACTGGGGGCTGAGGGTTTTTTTTGGCATAGCCCTGGCATTAGCCTAACCCTGGCACAGCCCGGCTTGCATGAAAGGAGACACTAACGGACAAAGGTTTGGGGTGGGTTAACGGTAGGTTTGGGGGTGCTGAGCGGGTGCGCGTGAGCGGGTGTGCTTACCATTTGGCTGGCATGGATGCAGTACTGAGCGGGTGCCGGTGAGTGGGTGTTCTTTCCATTTGGCAGGCATGTGTGCAGCGCTAAAACAAAAAGGCTAAAACCAAAAGCAGTTGCTAACACGTGGGTCTTGCACTGACGGTTAACATCCCGACAGCGCAAACATGTTGGGAGTTGCCTATTTTGAGACCACTCACTTCAGCCTCATGTACCTTGCTTTTTCAAATTGAAGCCGGCGGAGTGAATCCAAGAGTTGATTTGATTCCCCATTGACCCATAGTTCTCTATAGAAACCACACACTCTGCGGAGGGATTACTGGCCCATGTTGTGAAGAGAAGCATCCCTGAAGAGAATGGGGGTACCGAGCCAAGCATCTCGAAGACGATGAAGCTCAGCAGAACGGGTATCAGGCCGCTGGAGAAAACTGGCACCGCAAGCGCTGCAGCCTCCAAACAGCTGTCCCCTCCCTCCAAGGCTCTCTGGGTCCAACATGGTGAGAAACACCCTTATGAACACACGCACAGAAACATACGCAGGCACACACACACACACAAAACCTGTCACGGTCACCTGTTATGAAGTGTGTGTCTGCATGCAAAGTTCCAAACCGAGTCTCAAACGTACGATCTTGGGGCGGTAAACTAAACATGCGGCTCCGAAGGACATGGTGCAAATGCCGTTTTCTTTTCTTTTTTTTTCCTGGGAGCCTAGATTCAGCAAGTGTCCCCTTGTCTTGGTAGGAGGCTTCACCGGGAAGGACGAAGGGCATGAACTTGCGGTTGGCTAAGGCTCCTAACAGGTCAATGAGCATCCCCACCATAGAAACCAGCAGCATGAAAAAACCAGGCGATGGGTTTCCCGTAGAACTTCCCAAGGAACATTCAGGAAACCCCAAAACCCCGAAGGAACCCCCCAACCCCCCCCCCCTACCTTAAGGAGGGACACCCCCCCCAATTCCATTTGTTGTGGTCCGAGAAGAGCCAAATGGGAACGGACATTTTAGGGGTCAGTAATTAAGGGGATGGGGATCCCTTAAAAGCCCCGAAGCGCCGGTGTCCAGCCATGGCCAATGACACTGCGGCCAAGGCGCGCCAACCAAGAACACACCCACCGCCAGTTGCTCTGCGGACATAATGCCCAGCAGGAGCTGGGGCGAGAACAGCAACCCGCCTAGCCTGGGCCAAACACGTCGCAAAATACCATTCTTCTTCGTGTGAGTATTAGTTGTTACTATCATTATTCTGACTACCAGCATGATGGTCGTTGTTATCACCTGAGATGGTCTGGGGCTGGCTACCTTTTGCAACAATCATGCATCAACTTCAGATATTCTTGGGAAGAGATATGTGGGTGTCTTTTCTTAAGAAAACACAACTCTTTAGGGGGTACTAGAACCCTAATGTTGCCGCAGATAGATAAACCCGTGGTGGGTGTTCCCTGCAAAAGTGACGAATTCCAACTAAAAGGGCACCCCCCCTAAAAAAATCCCAGGGATTCCACTTAGATCTGGGGTCAACAAGATGTTGAGATAAGCCCGTTTTGAGCTGAGATTCTACTGATGATCATATCCGTCGTGCCAGGCCGCGCTGGTCTCCGGAGACCAAAAGCTGCAGGCCCCCCCCCAAGGAAAATTGCAGATACAGACCCCCAAAGCGTTGCATCTACAAACAACTCGCTGGTCATCCATTCGCTTCGTTCCTTCTGTGGAAGGGCCAAAGGCAATCCCAGATGCAAGCCGGAATCCATCTACCACTCGCTGGATGTGAACTTTTTGTCGGCCAGAAGCCAAGTGGCTGTGGCTCAAAAAACCGGTACCAAAATGGAACCCTGGTAAGTGGAAACATGGACCAAAACCTGCGTAACCCCTCCGATCGTTTAATTTTGAGCCACACCCAAGTACCCAAAGCGAAGCTGGGCCCGGGGCGACATGCACGTCATGAAGCTGGAGAAGACCAGCCCCGTAGGCAACGGCCTGGAGCTCTGGAGCTTCGTGAGCAAAAAGGACCCCGCGCGAACAAGCACCGGCAGCCGGGGCGCGGAATGAGGTGAAGGGCGAAAAAAAACCTGGGGTGTGGGGTGAACCAATATGGCCATGGTTTAGATATGGGATAAACTATGGGTTAATAAGATATGGTGGCTGTGGATCCAAGTTTATGGGCTTGGAGGCAACCAGCCATTGTCCCTTTTGTCCTTTAAGGGTGGCTCCTTTGGTTGTCTACCACGAAGGCAACTGGAGGCACAAGGTACAATATTGCACATATTCTGCGGCCACCCTTTTGTTGTAGGGACACCCATTTACCAGGGTTCCATTTACCAGCACCCTCCAAATTTGATGCAACGGTATCTGAAACGCCCTTGAGCCGTTTTGGGTACCAATTGACAATTGACGGAGTTGGAGGGTACTGGAGGTTCTCACCAATATGGCCCTAAATAGGGCTGCATATACCTTACGTTCACCCTGGTGCAACTCAACATATGACTCAATAGCCTGTCGCAAGCCCCACATTCCCATGTTGGAAGCGCAATGAATGAATCACCAGTCCACATTCACCGCCTACGGTTGCAAAGAGAATTACACTATGTGTACTCACCATGCTATTATTGGTAAATGGGTGGATGTACCCCTGAAAATCTAACATCATCCAGCGACCTTTGCTGCGAAATTGGTTTACACACCCGACCCATGGCCCATCTGGCATGGAGCGAACACAAGATTGTTTTGCTTCCATGTGCTTAAGAATATACTTGTGTTTTTTTCCTGGTCTCAAAGGGAATCGATTTCACTGGACAAATATGTTCTCATGTTTTCCAGCAACGCAAATGGCGGTAAACAAAAAAGGGCCCAGAGGGACTCACGGATGTTCCACGTGCATTCCGGAGGTTTCTGTTCTTTTGGAGCTTCCCTTTTGCGGTACCCCACTGGCTGTTTCTTTTTTCCGGCCTGCCGTTGAGGGCACCCAGCATCGTGGGCACCCACATGAAGACGAAGGAGTACCTGCAAAAAAAAGGCAACCCAAAGAAGCTCCAGATGGTCCATATAAGTACTACCAGGAGTTCTGCAAGGTTTCGGTTTGGGGTAACCATGGGTCAAAATCAGATATGGACCGCAGATGTTTTTGTCCATGTCGCTTCTTTTTGGCAGGGCTTCATTTTGGGTACCTATTTTTGACCCACGGCCATATGAGCGGCGGCCTTTATTTGTTGCTTCCTCTAATGTAAACAGTTTGCTGGGATCCTCCCTATCTCGTTCATTCATTTTTAGTACTAGGCCGACTTCCTGATCTCGTTTTTCACGCTGTCCTCAATTTCTATACCACCATGTCATACAACTGTTTCCCTATCTCGTTGTTGGGCTCCTCCCTATCTCGTTCCCATAGGCACGTGTGTTTTGTCCAAAAAACTGTTTCCAGTCCCTTACTAGTCTGGATGTGCGCAAATAAAAGCGGGCGCTCATATGAAGCAAGCTGCAAACGATGATAAATGCGAGAAGAAAAAAAAAAACGGGGGCACATCGCACCTTCGAACAAAGAATTCACCAGGCCGGTCAAGAAAATCTTCCTGTCTGACATGATTGCCTGGCAGGACGGTTGGATCAAAGGCCTCATCCCATGACTGTTGAAGCTGGTATGCCACTGGTCTGGTCTCCCAACCCCAAACTGGGTGATGCCCGCTTTGGGTTTTATTCAAAACACCCGAAAGGCCTCAAAAAAGGCATGACCCAGAGCCCAAATGATGGCACTTCGCGCATGACATGCCATGAACCTCATCCGGGCGCTATGTCTGGAAGCATGCTAAACGGGGCGAAATCCATTACGCACATTCCGTCATGATCATGAGGCGATTTCCTCTGACACTGGAAAATTCCGTGGACGAAATCCTGCACCAGTTGGTATGTGTTGTAGATCACAACTCCCAACGTGTGCGAAGTGGATTTTGTCCATGAGTAGTATCCCACACGCCCAGTTGAACAAAAAAGAGGATGCCCTCCCCCCGAGACACAAGCGCTCCGCTTCGCCTTGAAGGCAACCCCGGCATTTGTGGAGCTTTCCTTCTCGCCCTCCTTCTTTTTGCCCTGGCTGTGAAGACATTTCGGTCTGCCTTTTTTGACGGTACCCCCCTTTTGTGTTGTTTTCTTTTTTTTAAAGAGTGGCCTGAATTTTGAGACAAACCCATGGCAAGAAGGCGGCGCTTGAAGGACACGTTGGCAGCTCCACTTCTGATTGGAAGCTGATAGAGTAAGATTGCGCCAGGTAAGAAGGCTGACACGACAACCACCAAAGGGACGACGACAACCACAGCAAGACCAACGACAACCACGCTCACGACAAGCAGCATCAGCGGCGCCGGCGAGTCTTCCCAGTTCAATGCCATTGGCGAAGACAAATAGACAGATATACTGCCAGGACAACCGTGGCATCTCTTGAGCAACACAACCTTTTCCTCTAGAATCCTGCAAGCTCTTGCTGGGTCGTCTGCGCGATCGAATTATCACACTCCGAACTTTAAAGTAGTTGAGTTTCAAACGAGCGTGACGATTGACCATCCCACACCTGCCACGCAAAGCGGAGTTGGAAACTCTATCCGAGGGTGAACCACACGGCTTTGCAGAAACCAGTGATAGGCGTGAACTGTCGTCCTCCTGATGTAGATTTTACCTGTCTGGTCTTGATTAACAAGCTTTCCAGTGAACACCTCTCTAACACATGTTGGCTGCCCTTCACAAAAACGACAGTTTTGCCCTCCTCTTAGAACTGCGCAACAAAACACGCTGGCCGGTCAACTCGGTCAGACTCATCACTGATTTGTGTGGCAGGCGCGGCGCGGCCAATGTTCACCCTTTTTTGGCTTATAATATTAGAACGGATTGCAAGTGTCAACACTGACCGCCCGCTGTGCTCTTTCACTTGGCTGTGGGTCAAAACCAATGGACCATTTTGGGGTAGGTGCACCACCCATTTTAGTCCATTTTAGTGGGGATTGGGATGTTCACTGGGGGGTAACCGGGGTTTTGACCCATGGCCACTTGAAAGACTCTTGGGCCTCCTCATCGCTGCTCCCGTAGTTTTCCTCCCAGAAGACCACAAAGAAGAGGGCCAACACCTCGCGAACTCCGAGATCCGACCGACTCACATTCGCGGAGTCCGAGTTGCTGTGGATGGACGAAATCCTGCGCCACGTGGAAACCAAGGAAGACCATTGCTTGTTGGCATTGGGAATCCACTCATTCCAGGGTTTCGTAGGTGGTGCAGGATTTCGTCCATCCACAGTAGGAAGCCGTCGAACCGGTGGATTCCCCTTCTCAGGTCGGTTTTTGTACTGGTGCAGGGGCCTTCGGTCTGAAGCCAACAGGCTTCCCCCCTTCCGGCGATTCCATGGACTCAGCTTCCTTCCAAGTGGAGCCCGAGGGGCCGGGGGTTTGGAGGTGGTGAATTGGGTGGTTTCCCGTCTACCTACAAGAACCATGGCTTCAGAAATCCAAATCCAATCCAAACCAAAGCCTGATGGAAGGCGGGGGTTTGGAACTCAGTCCTTTGCCGAGCTCGGAGGGCTCCGCTCCCAGGTCAGCCCCTCTGCAAACATCTTCCATTAAAAAGAAGAAGAGAAAAACCAGAAAAACCAGTAGAAAAACCAGTAGAAAAAAGGAAAAGCACGACCAAGAAGGAAAAAACGAACAAACGAAAAAACAAGGTTGGATGCCCAAGTCTTGCCGGATCCACATCCATGGGTGTTGAATTGCTTTTGCTCACGCCGCCACTAACGGCGCGGAGCATTTCGCACATTTTTATGCGAACACGTCCCACCGCCCTTCCTGCTGTTGTGCTCGACGCCTTGATGACTTTGGTGGGGTGGGGTTGGGGTGGGGTCATAACGTACGGGGCACAATTTGCTCGGATGCCTGCTGTTGTGTGGCTTAGTCACAAGTTTAGTCCCGGACACCGTGTCACGCAGGCCGAATTTGGACTTTTATATTCCCTGGCGTGTGGCATCGAACCTTGCTAATTACAACTGGTCCGCCGAAGGCTTGAAAGGTTGGAAAGACGTGCAGAGGTGGCTGCCACCTTATGTCATGCTAAGAAGAAGGGCGGGCTGAATCCCGAGCGGTGGCGATACTCGCATAACTACCAATGGCGGCACAACACGTGTGATTGCTTGTAGGAAGCAATGCCGTAGTTGTTTCATGTCCAGAAGGGTTGTGAATTCCTCCGCACCGTTAGTGGCGGCGTGACCTTGTTTTTTTCCCCAACAGCTGAAAGCTTTGGGGTCTTAGCCCAAATAGGCTCCGGGGTGGTCCGGGGCGGCCCTGAGGTAAGGTTCCACGAGGGTGCCACCAGGGTTCCACCAGGGTTCCACCAGGGTTCCACCAAGGTTCCATCAGGGTTCCACGAGGGTTTCACGAGGTTCTGCGCGGGCTGGGCGGTGCGAGCACTAAACAGAGCACCGCATGCTGTTGGGGATATCACCTGAGCTTATTTCTACCTCCAGGTGAGCTCGAAACCCGAACAAAACATCTGGAGAGGTATTTGGGGGGGGGGGGGGTTGGAACTTCTGTTGGTTTGCATTTTAAAGGGAAACCAACTGGAGAACCCTTTTTTGGGCTCCCATATTCTCACATTTGGCTGGAGTTGGAACCTCCTCAAAAAGTGACATGAATCCCCACCTAAAATTGATGTCCACAGGGCCCGGAACCTGAAAAAATGCGCTGTCATTCCCCCGAAGTCGACTCCGGAAAAGGATTCGCCAGTCGACTCGATTCCGAGGTTCTTGAGGACTTGACCAATGATCTGTTGCAATCCTCTCAAGCATATGGGGCCATATGGGGGTAGGTGGGGGCGCGGCCTGTGAGGGGTGGCCTGTGAGGGATTTGAGGGAAACAAGGGGACCGGCCATTTGGAAGGCGACACTTTTCGCGTCAGGGCTCACAACTTTGGGCGTCGAGGCGGGACTGAAGCCTCCAATGATTCAAGTTTGTGTCGAAGCATAGGGTTCGGTTCCCCAACGTAACTACACTCCCACCAGTTCACATGGAACCTCACGAGGTCCTAGTTTGGACCACTTTTTCCTATTAAAGGGGACCTTCCGTCAGGTTCCACAAAACAAAAATGTGGGAGAGAATCAACCAGGTTTTCAGTAGAGAGGTTAGAAAAAGGGTGCCAACTTTCTTCTGTGGTCTATTGTAGTAGAAAAACCCTCCCAACCCCAAAAAAAAGGAAAGAAGAAGGGCACCTAGCTGGGGGACCTGTGGATGGACGACATCCTGCACCAAAAACAAGGTTTGTAAAAGGCACTACTGGTCAGCCAGCGCTCCATGGCAACTCCTGTGCTCCAAGGCGGGCCTGAGGTCCTGGGGCGCCCGGCGGTGAGCGCGATGGCGGCCTGAAAGGGCCCGATCTCCCCCAGTCGGTCCGCCGCCAACTGGGCGCCTCGGCCGTTTGTGAAGCGCGCCGGCCAGGGGTTTGGGTGTCTTCAAGAAGATGTGGACTCTTGACACGTTGGGTTGTAAGAAAACCCCCCAGGGGCCCATACCCTTTAATCGACCCAACACCGCTATCGTTTTTCTTCTTCCTTCTCGTTGCACAGGCGTTCCACACATGCACCTCCCCACCGGACGAAGCATTACATAATGTGGAGGTGCGGGGCTTTCATACAACCTCACACGGGCTTTTCTCAAAATAGGGGAACCCCGAAAAATGGTTGTTTCCTTTCACCATCATTGGGTTTGGGGAGGGAGGAGGGGGAGGGAGCCCAAATTGAATCTCAATGCGTTAATAATACCCTATTTGGAGCATTTGGGCTCCCTCCCCCCTCCCCTCCCTCCCAGCAAGCCCCATTTCAAGGGGACACCGAAGCCTGGAGAGCTTCCTTTCTGTTTCCCAAGAAACGTACACACACTTAAAAGAAAGGCACACCCGAGTGCTGTCCAAAAAAACAGTTGTCCGGGGGCCGAAGGCAAGCTGGTCACTGGATTTCCATGGCGAGAAAGGACTTGGCACTCTTTTGACGGGTCAGTCTTTTCCACACAACCCTTCCCCCAAAAAAGGCAACAAGCGTGTTCAGGCGCTGTCCCTGACTGTTTTTGGATTAAAACGAAAACAAATAAAGCCAACCAGGGCTCGTCAAAGGATCTCTCCCAAAAAGGCCATGGAGTAGGGTATCGAAGATTTGACCAAACCCAAAGAAATGAGCCCAGATAGCAAGCAGGTGGGCAAACTGATGGCCCCCGCGAAGGTCGGATGAATCTAGCAGGGGCGGGTGACTGTTCGGGGGAATGTCAGACGCCCGGGTGGTACCCCCCCCCGGCCTCTTGAGCCTGAGAATGTAGATGACACTTGAGACTGTAGCAAACTGTCTCTGGACAGGGCTCCCTCAAGTTCCCTTGTTTGGACCAACAGTGAAAAATGCTCACTGCGACCCGCAGGTAAATTGCAAGGTTTTTGGGGGGGAAATCCAGTGATCCCCTGCTCGAGTCTGGTTCTGGAGCTTCATGCGGCTAAGGACAGGGCAAATGCCAGCCTTGGAGCGTCCAACTTGCACTCCCAAGCAGCAATGCCCGGCCAACATGTTTCCCAAAGTCAGCCAACCAGCACCCTCCAGGGGTTGTCAATTGATGCCCAAAATGGCTCACACAAGGGCACTTCAGGTACACCTGGACCACTCTTGGAGGGTGCTGGAAACTATCCAGAAACCATTTGGGTAAGGTCGGAAATGAAAGGTACGCTGGCTCCTTCCCAAATCATGTACCCGGCATCGCATGGAACTCGCCAGGCAGACCCGAGGTGCGCCTGCATGTCCTTTTTGAGGGTATGCTTTTTGTGGGTGATTTAATGGGAAACCAAAGGCAATCTGTGTGAGTCCCCTTTATTTTGACACACACACACACCCATTTCAAAAGCCAAAGCCTAAACCAAACAATCCACACCAAACGCCAAGGCGTTAGCTTGTAGGTCCAAAGCGAAGATGTCAGCTCAAGAGAATACTGCAACCCTGCTACCCGTTCAACAATCGGGATTTCTCCACAGACCCCCAAATGCTTGGGTTGCTTTTGGTTCGCCTTTTTAGCAAAAGTCCATTTCAGGGGTACCGACAAACACACCGCCGGGGTCCCGGCAACAATCGCAGACATGCCGTTGATGAAGGAGGCAGTGCCTTCAGTCGGAGTGCTGGGCTATTCGCAACGTAAGAAGATGTGTTCTGAAAGTAATGGCTACTTGTCTTGGGACCCCAAAAGAGGAGTCTGATTGGTTTCCCTGTACCCAACAACTTTGGGTATCCAAGAAAAGGATACACCCAACTAGGCGTGGCATGACCAAGCTGCTCACTGGGCATGCTCAACCTGATCGAAACACGGAAACAAGGACACACCCCTATCTTCAGGCCTCACGCAAACACTCTCCATAAGAGGCAGGAAACCAGAGGAAGCTAAACCCAAGTAGTCTGAGGACTAGAACCTTGGTAGCTCTGGCCTATTTTTTTTTTTACCATGGTCAAAGTCACCCCCTAAGTGGTGGGTTAAAGGGAAACAACCCCATTTTCTGACTTTGATAACCCCCGGAAACCGTCAAAACAATGACCCCAGTAGCTCTTCCGGCACGGTTTACGCGAAGCGAACTGTTTCCAAACACTCCTTCTGGGGCGATTCGGTCACACCGCACAACTGCGTAACTGCGAGGATGCACTATTCAATGACTGCAGAATCCCGTCACCTGCAAGACTTCGTCACTGCATGTCTTGAGACTTCGCTTCTGAAGAACCATGTCGTCCAAACACTGAGAAGACGCTCCTACATCAGGTGTGCGCGGACTAAGAGGCAAAGGCTTTCTCCTCGTTTGGCTTTCTCCTCATCATGTTTCCCTTAGATGCCCGCACCCCACAGAGATTGTCTTGATTCTCAGCCGGATGGTTATCCCTAGTAACTCGTAGCAAGCAAGGCGTGGTGAGCACATTGTGTGTTCAAGACGGTAGAAGTGATGTTTCAATGGCCCAAATGTGGGTGTGACATTTTGGAGGTCACCTTTTTCGATGGTTTATTCATGGGTCCTGACAGGTCCCGCTCCCCTTATTTTGAGATAAGCCCATTTGCATTTAAGGGACCCTGCAAAAGGGGTACACAGAAAACACACACCAAGCTTTGGCGCAGCACTCCTGTCGCACTGCTTTTCGCGCACGCGAAAAGCATGGGCGATCCACCTCTGGTGGCATGTCGCCAAGCGAGCACTTCAATCAGCACAAACACAATCACCGGCAAATTACTCCTCTTCAATTTAACATGGGGCGCTTCCCAGCAAATGAGACGGTCCTCTACGGATGGTGTTGTGTGCAATGTTAATTGGCAGGCGGTAACGGCCTAAATCACTCGAATGGGGTGGGCTGCCTAAAAAGTCAAACCAAGTCATGATCGTGAGAGATGTAAGACAAGAAAATCACATGCGCAATTCTTTACCCGCTTCTGCCAAACCTAAGCAAGAATACCAAAAAGCTTTCCCGATTCGACGCAGCAAAGTCGAAAATCATCGCGCCGACATCGGCGTGAGAGATTCAAGTGGGCCTTTGACCCAAAGCGACGGACCGCGGTGTAGATCTCTGAGAGATCTAAGCCGCGGCATCTGAGCTCTTCTCGTCAGAGCATACGGTCATACATTCGGCACCAGCCATGGGTGCCGCGCCTGGCAGCTTACCAGGCTGGCAGAAAGATACACTGGTAAACACAGAGGCGAGCGATGAGTTGCACGGAACTGTTTAGGCCTCAAACCAAGCATGCATCTGACTCATGCTTCCACCCTCATGACTTCCGTGAGGACCTCTGTGGATCAACCAAACTGCCGCAGGTTCTTCGGAAATTCAAAAGATGGGAGCCGTGTGAATGCCGCCTCGCTCTTTGGCATTGTCTGCAAACATATCCTCCTTTTTTGGAGCCACAATGCCACACGTCAGCTGTGCGGTCATCGTGACTGAGGCAAAGCATGGGCACTGGCCCCCCAAAGTCAGGCAGTCATTTGGGTGTGTCAAAATACGAGGACCCCAGACATATTTGTGGGTTTCCCTTTTGGCTTCCCTTCCAACCAAGCCCCAAAAAGGGGCGCGCGACAAAAACACGGTGACGCCCATGCCATCTCTTCAGAACCTGCAGCTTGAAAAACTGGCAGTGCCAGGTAAGCGGAAAAGGGGACGGATGTGCTCTTCAGCCCTTGAGCTTCCGTATCGCTACGGCAGAGAAAACGCAAGACCAGAATCTGACCAGTCTAAGCCCAAAAAAGGGGTCCCACCAAATTCACCCCTCAAATCCAGATTTCTTTAGATTCAGGGGCTTGCAATGGTTAAACCACAGAAAAAGAGGAACAAAGGACCTGCGCTTGCGCAGTTGCAAGGTTCGCACTGAACAGTTTCTGGCTAGTGGGGAAATCCTGCTGTTCCCAAAAAGGTAAAAGCTAAAGACCCACGCTAAATTGAGTGCAGAACCCCTAGCCCTAACAATTGTGGTGTTAATGTGTTGTCCCCAAAAAACAAGAAAGACCAAGACACCTGGTATCAACAACAAAAAAACAGCCACACCGCGAGAGATGGGCTGGTCAATCTCTGCTTTCCACTGTCCGACCTTTTCCGCACACCGCGCTCGGTACTCGGCGCTCTTAGGCTGCCTGCACCAATTCAAAACGCTCCGGCCACGCGTCATGCGACAAATGCCTTGCACGAGGAACCATGTGGGACATGCAAGGCGTACTTTGGAATTGCAACTGTGCAAGGGAAACTGTGGCTAGACGAAACCCATTTCGCACCACCCAAGAGGGAGACCCTGGAATGATGATTCCCCTGTAAATGCCAACCAACAATGGTTTCCCATGTCCATCCACGGGAGGAACCATGCCTTAACAATTTTCCCGGCTGACTCGTGGGCGAGTGACTTCTGACGAACGAGCGAGCCTCGTGCTCTCAATGCCAGAACTCGTCTTCGCCTGAGTTCTCACAACGAATGGGTTCTAGGATGCTACACACATGATTGTCCTCTGGTGCAAGCCTGTTTATCCTGACAGGTTTGGCATGTGAAGTGGCCCCAGCGTCAAGCGTCGCCCCCGAATTCCAACAAATTCTGCAAGGCGAAGAATTGGGTATGGGTCAAAATCAAACCGCGAGGGGACCGTCCATGTTTCCACTTAGCGGGGGTCCATTTTGGGTACATATTTTTGACCCACAGCCAATTGGAGGGCTTTGAAAGACTCTGAAGGCCGTTTGCGAAACCTCTTTCCGAAGGCGGAGCTTTGATTGCCAGAGACCTGTCCAACAACAGCTGCCAGAATTATGTTCAGTCACGACTGAAGGCCAGGTGGGTAGGGGTTGCGCATGGTGGCAATGGTCAAGCCTAAAGTGAGTAACAATCAGTTGGCATACGCCAGCAATAGGCAGTTTAAATTTGGAGATCTCAACATTAAATTGGCTACATCCACAATTGGGGTTGCAAGTGGTGCGGGCTAACTGTTACCCTCCTCGCATCATGGAAGTGCACTCCTTTTTTCCACAAGTAGTCGTCCAAACAGGGTCTGTGCACTCGGTTTCTTGGAAGGGTACTGTTCCAAGCAATGCCTCGACACCGTCTTCCTGCGTCGCGTCGCGATGGGGAGCCTCAAGTCTTCGGCTTTGTTCGTATTTCTAAAACTTGCTGGTGCGAGGGGCAAGGAAATGAGTTGGACTGATCCTTAAAAACCATCCAACTGGTGGTTTCCTCCAAGGGGACCCCTGAGCTCATTCCCATATTTTTTGCTGAGCACCGGCAAGAAAGGTACGGGTACAAACACACATCAATCAAGAAGCCCAAAAAAAAACAAGGGGGGCGGGCCCCTCGGAGTCGATTTATCATTGGGGGTGGTGTTCATTAGGAAGGGGTCAAGGCTCATTGATTGCTTCATGTTTTTTTTTTTTGTCCCATGTGCAAACAGCTGGCACGTTTTTAATTGCAGCCTGTGCGAAGGGATGACCTACACGCAGTCCAGAAGTTCATGTTTTATCTGGTCGCCCCAGTGAATCTTCACGAGTGACAAAGCTTGGTCGTCCTTGCCATTGTCCAGTGTCCCCAAACCTTTCGGCTGTGTCGTCCTAAAAAAATGTTCCGGCACGCATCCAACTTCCATCACATCTGCAAATTATGCAAACCCAACATCTTGAACTGCGGAATCCTTTTTAGTCACAATGGAATGCAGGGTCGTTGCCTGCTTCACCCCCAAATCGGTCGAGCGATTCCCTTGAACCCATAACATGCGCAGATGTTCGGGGTTGCTCTTCCCCCCCTGAGCAAAGGGTCTGACTTTCTGCAGGTTTAATGGAAAAGCCCGTTTTCGGTCACACAAGAGATGGACCATCCTATTTGCTGAGGTGACCCCTCGGGACTCGGGCGCTTCGCGCGGATAAAGCTGCCCTTGAGGTCGACGATCTCTCGTTTCAACTCCCGCAGCTGAAGCCGAATCGCCCTCGGCGAAACCCGCGGCCGGGCCCCCCGCCACCCCCTAAATTCCTCCAAGCAAAACCTGAAGGCCTTAAGGAGGGGGAGCTGGAGGGGAGGGCTTGGCTCAAAGTGTTCGGGGCAACCCGAAGGGCTCGGCTTCAGAAAGTGACCCGCTTCCCCTCTTTCCAACAACCATGGGACCTTCTAACACTTCAGGATGTGTGCGGCTCATTCTTTTGGGCAGGGGATCCTACCCTCTTTCCAACAACCATGCACAAAAAAGGTCAGAAGGGTCTCTTAACAACCAGGGGGACTGTAGCTCAAAAAGGACCGCGCATGGTGTTGCTTTCCTTTTTCTACAAACTACCTGGAGGCGGAACCTATTTACAAATGATGGTTCCCCCAAGTACTCGTTTCCCTGGAAGATTTAGTCGCTTCAACTTGCAGAAATGTTTGGGAGATCGACATCGAGTTGGTTCAGATTCCGGGTTGGAATGTGAAAACTGGCGGGCGAGGGTTTGGTTTGAGAGACTGTCCGGAAAGGCCTTTTGGTGGTTTGCCTATGAAAAGGCTGGCTGTCCACTTCCATTGAGGACAAACTGCTTCAGCTGGGAAGAAGAAACGGTCGCTGATTCCAAAAGCCGTCACGGCAAACCAAAGCCGTTCTAACGTGGCCATCCAGCAGGGAACTTTTCCCACCTGCTTGCATAGGACG